TTTTTTGTTAAAAAATAAAAAAACTTTGCCCTCATGGATTTCATCTGGGGTGAGACTAGTGAGTCCAAAATGGTATCTCCAGTTCTGTCTGACCACTGAACTCTAAGAGACTTACATGCCACTGCCCCACAGAGTTCTCCACCTGGATGTTTGATGGGCATCTCACATTAACAGTTCTACATAGAAATCTTGATTTTTACATGTTGAACTTGTTCTCTCCCCAGTTGCACTAAATGATACTGCCTGCCCAGCTACTTAAACCTAAAACGTAAGCATAATTCTCGATTCCTCTTTCCCTCACCCTGCTGCCATTCAGTTACATAGTCCTGTTGCCTCTTCTTGTACACTCCAAATATATCCACTTCTTTCTATTTCTACTGTAAGCCACCATCATCTCCATCGCAGACTAGTGCAATAGCTTCCAATTGGTCTCTTCAGCTCTTCCCTTCTGACAATCTCTTTTCCACACAATTGCTTTAGTGATCTTTAAAATCAAATCAATTTACATCATTCTCTGCTGAAAACCTAGTAGCTTCATATCCAGGTTCCTTACATGTGTCTACACTTAATCCCTAACCCTCTTCATATTCACCATCTAATTTTCTTCCCCAGATCAGTCTAATGTCAGAATACTCTTGACTCCTCTGCAGCCTGGGTACAGGCCATTGAACCTCAAGACCTTAAATGATGTCACCTTAGTGACTCCCTGCAACATGCTTCTCCCACCTCCAACACCTTATATAATTATGGCCAGCAACGTTTTTTGTTGTTCTTGTTTTGAGATGGAATTTCACTCTGTCACCCAGGCTGGAGTGCAGCAGCGCGATGGCGGCTCACTGCAACCTCTGCCTCCTGGGTTCAAGCAATTCTCGTGCCCCGGCCTGCAAGTAGCTGGGACTACAGGAAGGTACCACCATGCCCAGCTAATTTTTTTTTTTTGTATTAGTAGAGATGGGGTTGTCTCCATGTTGGCCAGGCTGGTCTCGAACTCCTGACCTCAAGTGATCTGCCCGCCTCAGCCTCCCAAAGTGCTGGGATTACGGCCATGAGGCACCATGCTTGGCTTTTTTTTTTTTTTTTTTAACCATGGTTTATATTTGGTATTTTCTTGTTATAGGGTATGGCTCTCCCCACTTGAAAAGGGAAGCATCATGAAATCTAGGACCTTGCCTTTCTGATTTACCACTGGATTCTCTGATGCCTAGAACATTTTTGGGCAGGCAGATGAATTAATATAGTAAAGAAAAAAATCAAGTTTAGTATGTATAGTATGATCTCAAAATATTTTTATAGGAAAAATGTATACATAGAGAAAAATCTGGAAGCATATTTACCAAATATTAACAATATTTCTGATAGTGGAATTGCAGGTTGTTAAAAATTTTCTTTATGCTTGCTTATATTTTATAATTTTCTATGAACTTGTTTAGTAAAAAGTCTTAGAACACCCTGCTGTTAGGTTTTAAAGCTTTGCATCTAAAATAGCTTTGTGACATAAAGATGAGTTCCAAAGGGTTTAAAGCACCTGAGGGATGTGTAAAATTGCACTCTTTTCTATTATAACCCTGAGGTCAGTGAGCATAACCAAGGATTGTCAACTTATTTTCACTCACCTTTGTAATGTCAAAATTCTGGACGTTTGACCTTAAAAAAGGCATTTCCAAACATGAACACACCATGCTTCTCAAAAGACAACAAACTACAACTGGTTGTTTAGAAGTGATGATGGCCTTTAGGGTTCCTGAACCCTCTGAAATTATGTGTAGGGGTAGGCTCATGTGGGGCTGGGGGACATGGGTCTCAGTAGAGGCCCATAGGGCCCGTAGCTTTCATTAGATTTTCTGAGAGTTCCTACCCTCTGCTTTGCCAAATTTCTTACTATGTGATGTTCTCTTTCCCAGAAGAATCTCTTTGGGAAAAGACAGTGTAGTTGTGGAAGATCCCCCTTGCCCAAGACAAATGTTGCCTTGCCTAAAATTCATCCATTAAAGAAAGCTGTCCTTAAAAAAAATAATGGGCCAGGCGCAGTGGCCCACACCTATAATCCCAGCACTTTGGGAGGCCGAGGTGGGTGGATCACCTGAGGTCAGGGGTTTGAGACCAGCCTGGCCAACGTGGTGAAACACCACTTCTACTAAAAATACAAAAATTAGCCAGGAGTGGTGGCGGGCACCTGTAATCCCAGCTAGTTAGGAGGCTGAGGCAGGAGAATTGCTTGAACCCAGGAGGCTGAGGTTGCAGTGAGCCAAGATTGTGCCATTGCATTCCAGCCTGGGCGACAAGAATGAGACTCCGTCTCAAAAAAAAAAATTAATGCCTTTTGGAGGGAGAAGGTCCTAAGTACTAGAGCCATTATCAGTTATTAACCCCTTTGTGCAACCTGTCTTATCCTATCCTTCCACAAATACTGCTTTTGCTCTCTTCAGATGCCATTGTTCTATTTACTGGGAAGTAGACGTCCAGAGTAGATGGCTGAGACCTACTGACTTAAGTGAGACACTGTGATAGCACATGCCAGATCCTAATACATAACAAACAGCTTCATGAGACAAAACTTAATGCACTGGAATTTTCTATTCTGCCGTGACTCATTTATATTTCAACCCATGGATCAGTTTGACCTTCAGTCTGAAACACTGCTCAAGATAAATGATCTTTTGTAGCTTCAGTAGCATGTTCAGTAAGGAAGTAGAGGAAGGCAAGACAATACTATGCTGGTGAGGCGCCTGAGCTCCATTCAGATAACCCAGCATCAACTCTGCTGTGACCCTTACCAGCTGTGTGACTTTGGGCAACTTATTTAACCTCCCTATGCCTGTTTTCTTCATGTATAACTAAAGGTAATAGTGAACCTAATGAGGATTAAACTGCGCAATGAATAAGCACTTAGCACAGTGCCTAACATAGTAAACATTTAATACATGCATTAAGGAATTGGAGCAACGGTCTTGCAACCCTTTCCACAACCCCCCCAGCCCTTTAATTCAGAAAACCTGCCTAAAAATGAAGCCCAAAGTGTAAGCACAATAAAAGCAATAAAAGTGGAGCTTTTGAATAGAGTGGGTAGGAGCCTTAGCTCCAGAGAAAACGTGTATGTGGGCACAGGATCAGAATGAAATGTCCCATTTTAAGTTTACCTTCCCTCATCACCAGTACAAGAGGACACTAAATTTTACAGATGGTGGTGAATGATTGGGGCTCACCTGATTTTGCTTAATAGGGATATCTTATGGACCACAAAATTAAATTCCTGTGCCTATAAGGCAGAGAAAACAGTTCGTGAGCACAATCCAATCTGTAAGCATGTCTTCTTGGTTGCAAACTGCAATTTAAATTAGTGCTTGCGAAGTCAGGATATTGTACCGAAAAATCCAGATTTCTCTAAAATGGCCCTATAGGCCTGGTTTCCTGCATGGCTGCCCATGGCTAAAGAATGCTTCATTCGGTCTGTCCAGTCTCTGGCATTCCATGGTTTCCCTACAGAGACTACGTGTTTGCTTTTATAGTAGAGAAATCTTGTGTGTGTTAATAATCTGGCTCCTGCTCTGAGGTGCACCTTTACTTAATGGTGCCTCGTAAACACTGCAGCAGTGAGATCAGCCAGGCTTCAGCTGATTAAACACCCATTTGGGAACACCCAGTTGGGAACACGCTGTCTCTGTTCTTTTACTAAAGTCAAGTCCAGACATTCTTTCACACCGGCTCCTCTGCTGTCTCATCTCACAGACCTTGGCTTTCTTTTCCATCTCTGAACGATGTTGTCCTCACCTGGTTCTAGCTCCTGCCTTACCTTATTCTATTGATGGCCTGCTTCTGGCAATTTACTGCTCTGGGTTAACTGCCTTGTTTCACTTCACTTCATCTTGTTTAACCCCTAAATGCATCCTACTTTCACTGTGTTCTTGAAAAGATCTCAAAATACCTCTAATTATGGAAGCAATTATGTAACCAGTGAATGAGAGGACACCTTGATTTCAATTTCCATTTATAAACTTCTGCCCATCGTCATTCATATTTAGCTCTGTGACTCTCATAACTGGACCAGCAGCCTTGCATGTCTATTTTACTGCTACTTTCTAGGCCCTGTTTAAATTTATGTCTTGAAATTTTGATTTTACCAGGTTATTCTTGAAATTAAAGCTAAACCTTGCTCTTCTAACATTAGGCCCCTTCTAACATCCTTCCAATTTTCCATCCCCAAACCACATGTCAGATTGTCATGTCCTTGCTGCTAAATTCACTTATCACTGCATTCATATTAAATTTCCTTGAGGAATTTCCCATTCACTGTGTCATTTTTATATTTTTTTATTAGTACCTTTTCTCTCAAAAGCTAATTCTCTTTGAAAGCAATGTCTTCCAGTCCAGGCTCTTTGTTTTTTTGGTTTTTTTTTGAGACAGAGTCTCACTCTGTCACCCAGACTGGAGTGCAGTGGCCTGATCTCAGCTCACTGCAACCTCTGCCTCCCAGGTTCAAGCAGTTCTCCCTGCACTCCAGCCTGGGTGACAGAGCAAGACTCTGTCTCCAAAAAAAAAAAAAAGAGTATATCTTAACACATATCCACATAGTTTTCTTTCTTTCTTTCTTTCTTTTTTGACGGAGTCTTGTTCTGTTACCCAGGCTGGAGTACAATGGCACGATCTTGGCTCACTGTAACCTCTACCTCTTGGGTTCAAGTGATTCTCCTGTCTCAGCCTCCCGAGTAGTTGGGATTACAGGTGCCCGCCACCACGCCCAGCTAATTTTTGTATTTTTTTTTAGTAGAGACAGGGTTTTGCCATCTTGGCCAGGCTGGTCTTGACCTCCTGACCTCAGGTGATCACCTGCCTCGGCCTCCCAGAGCACTAGGATTACAGGTGTGAGACACTACGCCTGGCCCCCATATATTTTTCTTAAAAATACGCAGAAAATATTTTTCCTAGAAAACTTTCTAAAGTATACCATCATATTTATCACTTAGTATCAAAATTTCACAAAATACAAATTTAAGCAGAACCTCCTAAAGTTTACCATAATTTTATTGTAATATCAAAATCACATAAGATACAGAGTTAAGCAGAAAACTGATGAATTTTCTTCAGATGGTCTTCAAGATCTCAAAAGCCTTGAAGTTTGCTGAAAATAGGAAAAGAAAAATATTTGGAAACCTAAGTTGTACACTTACTAATACTTAGTTGTTAATTTTTAAAAATAGGTATAATTGATTTTAAAAAGTAGGTCAATACATACATACTGTTTCAAATTCAAAAGGAGACTCTAAAAAATAAGTCATTCTCACGCCCCTTTTCTGCTCCCCAAAAAGCAAGTGTATATCTTTTTTTTTTTTTTCGAGATGGAGTCTCACTCTGTCGCCCAGGCTGGGGTGCAATGGCGCAGTCTCGGCTCACCGCAGCCTCTGCCTCCTGGGTTCCAGTGATTCTTCTGCCTCAGCCTCCTGAGTAGCTGGGATTACAGGCATCCACCACCACATCCAGCTAATTTTTGTATTTTTAGTAGAGACGAGGTTTCCCCATGTTGGATAGACTGGTCTCGAACTCCTGACCTCAAGTGATCCACCTGCCTCGGCCTCCCAAAAAGTGCTAGGATTAGAGGCATGAACCACTGCGCCCGGCCGACAACTGTATGTTCTTATAAAGGTAGACTAATTTTAAAAAAAGGTAGCCGGGCGCGGTGGCTCACGCCTATAATCCAGCACTTTGGGGGGCAGAGGCAGATGGATCACCTGAGATCTGGAGTTTGAGACCAGCCTGACCAACCTGGAGAAACCCCGTCTGTACTAAAAATACAAAATTAGCCAGGTGTGGTGGTACATGCCTGTAATCCCAGCTACTCAGGAGGTTGAGGCAGGAGAATCTCTTGAACCCGGGAGGCGGAGGCTGCGGTGAGCCAAGATGGCGCCACTGCACTCCAGCCTGGGCAACAAGAGCGAAACTCTATCTCCAAAAAAAAAAAAAAAAAAAAGTAAGTCTAATCATATGTAAGCACATGTATATGTGGTCTTATGCTTTAAAAACACAGAAGTGATATGATATTATGCATACTTTCTACACCTTTTTTCCATTAGTAGTAAATACATTATATTTATCTATATTTAATTCTTTAAGGCTTTGAAATTTAAGTAAATCAGAAAGTTCTGAATAGGTACATTTAGATATATATACATTTTTAAAATTTCTTGGTATAAAAACTGCAGTAAAAAGGCTGGGCACAGTGGCTCATGCCTGTAATCCCAGCCACTTTGGGAGGCCAAAGCTGGTGGATCACCTGAGGTCAGGAGTTTGAGACCAGCCTGGTCAACATGGTGAAACCCCATCTCTACTGAAAATACAAAAAATAGCTGGGTGTGGTGGTGTGTGCCTGTGATCCCAGCTATTTGGGAGGCTGAGGCAGGAAAATCGCTTGAGCCCGAGAGATGGAGGTTGCAGTGAGCTGAGATTGTGGCACTGCACTCTAGCCTGGACAACAGAGCAAGACTCCATCTCACAAAAAAAACTGCAGTAAAAAGCCAATTGTACCTAATTCTACATGATGTACTTGTATACACAGGCTTAAGTATACCTTAAGGATAAATTCCTTTTAGGATAAATTCCTAAAAGTGGAATTGTTGGTGTAGGCATTCATAAATCTTGTCAAATTGTCCTCCGAAAAGGTTTTTGCCATTTTTCATTCTGACCAAGTACATGTGAGAATGTGTATTTCCTCCACTACATCACCAACATTGTTTTTAAATAAAACTACTTGAAAGTCATGTTGAAACAGGGTTAATTTTATCAACTTTGACTACATTTCTGTGATTAATTCCACAATATAATTTCGCAAATATTCTAACAGAAAGCTTCTTAGAAGAAACTAAGTGGCAAGAAGACCAGATTATTTCAATATATCTTGAAATTTTCTGTTTTCCCAAAACATAAACTTAGATCAATTTGTTTGATCTAGCATTGAAAAGATTCCCCAGTTACCAATACAAAATTATAGTTTGGAAATTATGTCAAGGCTTTCAGCATCTGAGGCCACAGCAGATAAAGGAAGCAACTATTTCAGTTCGACAAAGAGTGAGCATCAACTACAAATACCATGAGACAGGGTACTTAACAGCTGTCACCCAGGCTGGAGTGCAATGTGGACCAATCAATCACAGTTCACTGCAACCTCCGACTCCCGAGCTCAAGTGATCTTCCCACCTCAGTCTCCCCAGTAACTGGGACTACAGCTGTGGGCCACCACGCCCAGCTAATTTTTTGTATTTTTTGTAGAGAAAGGGCCTTGCCATATTGCCCAGGCTGGTCTTAAACTCCTGACTTAAGCCATCTCCCTGCCTTAGCCTCCCAAAGTGCTAGATTACAGGTGTGAGTCACCACGAATGGCTGCAGGCCGTTTTATGTCTGCAAGTTTTATGCCAAATCTTACTTTAGTAAAAGTCATTCTAACAGTGGACAAGACCATATGCTCCAGGCTGACAGCCCTCAGAGTTGACTTAGTCCTGAGGTCACAAAATCAAGTGCCCTCAGGATATCCAGCGTAGACAGGTGGGCTGGAAAAGAGCATATGTCTGTCCCTTACCTAAAGGCATTCCAAATCAATTTTTTAAGTATTCAGTGTGGGCTAGGTAAAATCAAATACACATTAGGCTTTCATAAAACTAGGGGCTAGAATATCTTATGTTCTTTATGAGAATATCTATCTGCCTATATTCCAAGAACTAAGCTGTGCTTGGAATACAGCAAGAATCAGCTTGTATGTATGTAAAATAAGCAAATTCAAGAATAAAATTTAGAATATATCATAGAATAAATGGACTTAAATCTTCCATGAGTATTAAGCAGCAAGAATATATGCATAAACATTTTCTAAAATAAATATATTTAAGAAAATCATGGTTTCAGGATTAGGAAACAGAGGTGTTTTTCCTTTTCTCTCTTTTTTTTTAAGACAGTCTCGCTCTGTTACCCAGGCTGGAGTGCAGTGGCACAATCTCAGCTCACTGCAACCTCAGCCTCCTGGGTTCAAGAGATTCTCCTGCCTCAGCCTCCTGAGTAGCTAGGACTACAGGCGTGTGTCACCATGCCTGGCTAGTTTCTTGTATTTTTAGTAGAGATGGGGTTTCACTATGTTGGCCAGGCTGGTCTCAAACACCTGACCTCAGGTGATCTGCCCGCCTCAGCCTCCCAAAGTGCTGGGATTACAGACTTGAGCCACAGTGTCCGGCCTCCTTTTTAATTTTATATTTGTATGCATTATTTTGAAAATTTTGTTATTCATTTTGTATTCACTTTTATTTAAATAAATATGTTAATTCCAAAAAGAAAAAGACAATTGGGCTGTGTTCAAGATTATATTCTCTGACGAGAATCTGGAGGGGAGTTACTTGATTTGGTCACTTGTTCTTTTTTTTTGAGACGCTGTGTTGCCCAGGCTGGAGTGCAGTGGCACCATCTCCGCTCACTGCAACCTCTGCCTCCCAGGTTCAAGCAATTCTGCCGTAGCCGCCTCCTCCTGAGTAGCTGGGATTACAGGTACATGCCACCATGCCCGGCTAATTTTTGTATTTTTAGTAGAGACGGGGTTTCAGCATGTTGGTCAGGCTGGTCTAGAACTCCCGACCTCGTGATCCCCACACCTCGGCCTCCCAAAGTCCTGGGATTACAGGTGTGAGCCACTGCGCCCTGCCTGGTCACTTGTTCTTAACCAGTGGTGGGAGCTTTTTCAAAATATAGTTATCTGAGAAATCACGTTAGGATGTCTGAAATCAAGGGAAATAATATTTAAAATGCCTATTCTTTACAATTAGAAAGTCATTTGATGAGTCTGGGGTAAAATCCTAAAACTTAACATTTTTAACAAGGACCCCAGAGGATTCTGATGTGGGTGATCTATATAGATCACTCTGAAAACTACTACCCACTAGCTGATTATTTTCTTCTCTCCCAAGACCTTTCTGTAACTCCAACCCCATACCATCACCAGACTCACACACAGCTCCCTCACTGTCAATTTAAGGGAAAGTAGGGCTGACCTCTCAGAAGAATGAGAACAGCATCAGGAGTCAGCCTGTAAGAGAACTAGCCCACCTCCACAGCTGGCCTGAGATTTCCCCCAAAAAACAGTTCTTGATCTATTTCAACACAAACGTACTGTCATGTATGCACAATTCTATGTCACACAGCATAACCATGATAAGCTCAGCCAATAATATTTCTTACCAGCCAGTGTAGACATTTTCAAAAAATCTCAACACACTGATAGAACATCTCATTTTCAGTAATTTAACACCTAGAGAAAGATCTTTTTTACTGTGTCTGTGCACACACTTACCTATCTTCTACTGTCTTATTAGAAGGATAAAAAACTTTGAATGAAAATCCACTTCTTGGAAAAGAGCCCTTTGGGGGAGAAAATGTCTGTAAGTGAATATTCCAACTTTTTTTTTAAAAACACAATATATATATTTTTTTTTATTTTATTTTTTTTATTTATTTATTTATTTTTTTTTTTTTTGAGACACGGTCTCACTCTCATCACCCAGGCTGGAGTGCAGTGGGGGCAATCTCACTGCAACCTCCATTTCCAGGATTCAAGCAATCTTCCCACCTCAGCCTCCCAGGTAGCTGGGACCACAGGCGTGGGTCACCACGCCTGGCTAATTTTTTTATTTTTTGTAAAGACAGATGGGGTTTCACTGTGTTGCCCAGGATGGTCTTGAACACCTGGGCACATGTGATCTGCCCACCTCGGCCTCTCAGAGTGCTGGGATTATAGGCATGAGCCACCGTGCCCAGCCGAATACTCAAGTTTTATAAAATAATCCCTGTTTTTTAAATTAAATTCCTTGGTTATGATTTTAAAATGACAAGATGTGACTATAAAGTAACAACAGATTTTTACATGATCTCTGTACAGAGTTGTTCCTATAAAATATCTCCACTTGAAGCAAGTCTTTCGAGTTGGCTAGACAGTCTTATGCTAAAAGATGAGGTTGGAAATGCTGAGGAGGAGCCTACTTAGTATAAGAAATAAACAGACTGTGTAATGCCAAATATGCATGTGAGACAATCAGCAAGTTCAAGAAGTCTTTCCTGCCCCTCCCTCTAATGCAAATCTGATTTGCATTCCTATGTGCCTGTTTGATTCCCTTCCTATGTGCCTGTAAAGCAACTGAGCAATAATCACACATACAGTTGTCTACTATGAAACTCTCAAGTGGCCGAGCAGAGGCCCTGTCTTTTCAGTCTTTGTGCCCCAAGCACTGAACCCAGCGCCTAGCCTATAGCAGGCATTCGTTAATGTGAATAAATATCAAGAAAGGATGAAGTAATGTCTAAAGCTAGTTTTGAGCTTGCCCAAAAGGTATAAATAAGGTAAAAAAGATATAATGATGGTGTAGGAGGTGGTGGTTTACTCACAGGAATGAAAAAGTAGAAAAATTCAGAAATAAGTTGTATTCAAATAGAGCATTAACTAGGAGAATGCTCAAAGTTTAAGTAAGGAAATAGGATCACTATGAAAGACTATTTCAATGTGAAAAAAAATGACGTCATAAATTTCTAAGCAATAAAACCAAATCAGTTAACTGTGTTCATCCTTAAAGCAGACGTTCTTTCTTTTTTTTTTTTTTTGGAGACAGAGGCTCGCTCTGTCCCCCAGGCTGGAGAGCAGTGGCGGATCTTGGCTCTCTGCAAGCTCCACCTCCTGGGTTCATGCCATTCTCCTGCCTCAGCTTCCTGAGTAGCTGGGACTACAGGCGCCCGCCACCACGCCCAGCTAATTTTTTTTGTATTTTTAGTAGAGATGGGGTTTCTCCTTGTTAGCCAGGATGGTCTCGATCTCCTGACCTCGTGATCTGCCCGCCTCGGCCTCCCAAAGTGCTGGGATTACAGGCGTGAGCCACTGTGCCTGGC